TCCCTTTTAATTTTTCAGCTGGCGGGATAGTATGCCCCCCAGTCAACTTAATTTGACCATCTTTGTAAAGCTGGTCGAAAATCAGTTCTGATTTTGAGACATCAAAGGAATATTTTCTAGTTTGAATCGGAGCACGATTGGGCTTTCCACCTTGTGGTTCCCCATCGGCCTTGGCTAGAGAAGCACACACATATGGATTCCCCTGCACAATCTCGGCCAAATCAACTTCAACCTCGTTGCCGACGTTATTCACACCATAGTTTTCAAAATTAGGGAAATATTGTCCGCGAGAGCCACTTCTCTTATGTTCTTCTTCACGGAGAAGAGATTCATATCTAACAGCGCAGGACATCAATTGAAACAAATCAGAAAACTCCCTATCTTGAAACTTTTTACGAAGTTCAAAATTCAATCCACCCTGGGCCAGTTTAACAAACTCGCGTTCTGTCAAGTTCACAAAACAGCGATTTCTTGCATTTTTAAAGTTAGTTAAGAAGTGTTCCACTGTTTCTCCTGGTTGTTGGCGCATTCGGGCCAAGTCTGCCATTGTTACTTCTGGCTCAGAACGGTAGAACTGGGCATGGAACATTTGTTCCATTTGCTGCCAAGTTTGAACCGAGTTCGATGGCAAGTTGACGTACCACGCGAATGCAGGGCCGGTCAACGAGTTGCCAAACAAACGCAACTTCAAGAAATCACTCACATCACCACACTGAACCGTGAATCGTCCAACATGCTCGACGGTGGACTGATCCCCAGTCCCGCTGAAGGTGATGAAATCAGGCACGCGAAAACCACGTGGAAAGGGGTAGTATCTATCAACCCAATCCGGATATGGTTTTCGATACACTGGCGGCATCGCTGGTCTAATCCCTAAACCAAACTGATCCGCCAGCATCTGTGCTACTTGATCTCGAATCGCATTAACGTCTTGCCCCCCGAGTTGCCCCCCTTGTGGTACGAATCCACCAGGATCCATGCCAAGCCCGTTTGGAGGAGGAGGCACGTTTTGTGGGTAGCCGCGTGGCGGAACATGATCATTGTTGATCGTTCCTCCACCACCAGCACCGCTCATCGGAGCCACGTAAGGTCTGGCCTCCGGAATATTTTGTGGACCCACACCGTGAAACGGCGGTGGTTCAACCCGAGTGTGAGCGGCAGTGCTAGTCTCGCCAAGATTAACTCGCGGAGTTGGTGGGTTCATCACCGGTGTCGGCGAAGCTCCTTGTCTTGGCGGACTAATTCGAGCACTGTTGTTTGGAAAACCAGTTTCGCTGTTTATATTGTTTTCACCGTTTAGCGGCAAATCCCTAGGTTGCATTACTGGTCTACCCAAGAGCTCCCTGATTTCATTCATATCACGTAGATTTTTATCCCCGAAAACATCAAAATCATGTCTGTTTTTAGTCACAACTTCAAAGAGTTGGCCTAAACGCCTATCAACACGAGACTCAAGAGAATCATGCCGCGCAGTTAAAGCGTCAAAACGTTGATTTACCTCGCCTTTGAAGCCTGCGAACTCATTGTTGAGGCTAGCAAACATGCGACGGTTCTCCTCCATGAAATGGCGGATTGACAAATCTCCAGTCGGCCCAGCTGTGGACGGCGGATTCTCGGACCCACCGATGTCTTCAGCACCGATTCCTTGGCCTCCTTCAATGTTGGCCACATGTTCCTCCACGATTCCGGGCGGGACATCCCCTTCCGGATTACTTCGTCGCGGAGCCATTCGAACACACGTGTCCCACCAGGTGTGCCAATTTGTTTCGTTGGCGAAACTTCACGTGTTCGATGCGCACTGTTTTCAATTAAAACACAAACACAAAATCAGCAAAATCGTCAAATATCCGCCGCCGAAGTCGGCGTCATTGATTTGATCGATTAAAGCAGAAACCAAGACGATCGTCAAATGGCCGCCGCCGGTGTCGGCGTCGTTGATTTGATCGATACACCTTTGACTTCTAATCAAACAATTGTTATTCGGTTCAACACCTCTCCAAACTACGTTCGAACGAGGGTGTTCGACGAATAAACAGAGAATCGAACCAGGAGTGTTCTAAGTTACGTTACCTCTACTCCTATGGAGGTTCCTCTGGAGAACTCCGCGACTTCGACTACAAGCTACGACTACGACTCTGCAAAGGAGGTCTTTGACAGAGCGGTTCTACGAACTAGAGAGAGAAAAGATAAAATCTGCGACGGTGCAGTTTGTGATTTGATTTTGCCGTCCTGAGCTTCTCTCTCTTCCCAATCTTTATACTTCGCGCTTCTCCCCGTCGTAGTAACTGCCTTGGCGCCTTTGTCTCCCACGTCTTCATTCCTGTCAACCGTGCAGGTAACTTCCTCCTTGTTGCGTGATAATCACGTGCCCTCTAAACCGCTCTTGCTTTGCAGAAACTTGGCGAAACGACTTACAACCTTGTCCATGTAACGATGACGTTTCACCAATACCACGACATCGCCTTTCACCAACCGATGTCGTTTTATAATCCAACTAAACTGCCCCGACCCGGTTTAACCAACGACATTGTTAGTCCATCAAACAACGTCGTTCTCTAGTCTTGCGCCGTCGTTGGGCTTGGCGGGCCACTCACCAAAATCCAAACCATCGTGGTATGGTTTTTAACAAAACGACATCGCTTAGTAATACTACGGCGTTGTTGATGCCTTAAACGGTGCCGTTTTTAGCTAAACAACACCGCTTGATTATACCCGCGACATCGTTTTCAAATCCGCGGTGTCGTTTCTTTACTCTTGCGGCATCGTTTTCAACTAAACGACACCGTCCTACATAATTATTAACAATATTAGTTAATTAATCTGGTCATCACTAGTCAAACTTGTGTATTGACCAACGACATCATTAGCGCCAAAACGGCTCCGTTTGCCTTTTCTTTCGCGACATTGTTTTTTATTTAAACACTGTCGTTTGCTAATCCGCGGTACCGTTGGGCTTACTCGCGGTACCGTTTTGAATTAAACGACACCGCTGATATAGCCAAAAATAATAATCCATGGAGCCGCCGCCAGTCGGCGCTCGCATTGGGCTGGGTGAATTTTGGTCACTTGCCCATCGGTACCGCTTGCCAGGCTCTCGCGGCACCGTTTTTAATTCTGCGGTATCGTTTTAACTCTTCGCGGTACCGATTTTCCTCCTCCAACAAGGAATAAAAATATTAATTAATCATAAACAAAACTCCTTCTCCAACAAGAAACCACACGCGCGGCCCTTGTTTATTCCTCGGTATCGTTTCCAGTACCGCGGTATCGCTAAGCCTCCTTGCGGTACCGTTTTACTCCAAAGGAATAACAAATAATAATTAAATAATCACAATTCCTCCTCACCCTTCATTAAACGAGCGGCCTCTCTATTTTCGGCCTGCGGTGTCGTTTCCGGTGTTGCGGTACCGGTCAGCTTCCTTGCGGTACCGTTTTAACTCCAAACGATACCGTTTTTTAACCCGCGGTATCGAATTAAATGCCGAGACTAATTAATGCAGCATTTAATCCCGGTCAAATTAATTTTAGGTGTCAACAGTGTTCAATTTGACGATAATTAGAAATAGATCCGTGCTGATTTTTATTACTCACCTCCCTTCTCCTACACAGTCCATTGCTCTACGAACAGTGGGTCAAAGAAAAAAAAAAGTAAATAAATAATGGCTTAAACAGTTGGCAACCACTGGCGGATCCAAGGGGTGGCCATTCCGGGCCCCGACATAGCCCTCCTCTGGATCCGTAGTTAGTATAGTCCTTATGAAATTTTCGATTTTAGACATTTGACTCAATGTTATTTTATGATAAGATTGGGTTTAACTAGAAAAATTATTAAATTGAACATATTCAAATCACTACTCTAAATTTAGCCTAGAAATTTTAGCCCCAAAGATTATGCATCTAAAAAAAACAAAGAAACCTAAAATTCTAAAAAGTTTAAAACGTAAAAGACTAAAAGAAATATGAGGTTTGTTCCCTTAAAAATTTACTAGAGCAGCTGGTGTGCAGGGATGGACACACAATGCAAATTGATTAGTTGATTGATTATCTAGTGTTGATTTTGCTCGTTTCAACAACTACTACGAAGAGAACCTTTTCAACAATGAAACATGTGAGAACTGATTTGCTCAACAAAATGAGCGGTGAATTTCTCGCCAATTGCTCAAGTATTTTATTTGAAACAGTGTATACTATTAGTATTAGTATGGATGTAGACTCCTTGATGCATTCCCTAAATTAAAATACAGTCGTGTACAATTTACATTGCAAAAAACTATAATCATTATATTTTTTTTACAGTTTTAATTTTCAAATGAAATGCGGCTCAGTGCTCTTCTGTGTTCTGGAACCGCCGTTGTTGGCAACAGTTTAGTACATTCTCATAAAATCCCAATGTTACACAAAAAAACAAAATATGGTTGGGGATCCACATTATGGAATGTATCACGTTTTCTGAAAGTATTTGTGGAAAAGACGAAATATTAGGTCCCTCTCCAACTGTAGACGCTCCCTGCATGTGTGCTTCTTTAGATTCAAGCTTCCCTGAAAGTAGATCGGTGGCGATTGGAAATTGAAAATTCTCCGTATGATTCTTTGATCTGTATTCGATCTGTTGTTCTCTCTTATATGAAAATTTTAACCAACGTACTCCGACCAGCTGAACTCCGTCGTCAGGTACTGGTCTTGTCGAGACGTGTCCCAGCCTTTCTACATGCAGCTCCCTGTCATCACCCGCACCATGTTCCCTTCATGCCAGTGTGTCTCCACAACCAACACCTCTTCCACCGCTTCCGCCGCTCCCGTCCCTCCCGCCTACACCTAAGCCAATCGCTCCGGAGTATCAAAATTTTCCTTTCGTTAGTAAATTGCAATTTAATGTCGAACTTTCTATAATGATACTGTCCCAATAGAAATGGAAAGCATCCACGTTCACTATTTTCCTTTTTAGAAAATGGTAACTTTCCCACTTAAACAGAAGATAAACAAATTAACAATGGACTTACCAGAATGGTCCTTTACAATGAGCCATTTGGGTAAGCCCGGCGGTGGCGGTGGAAGTAATGGCAGCAATAGTAGCATGAATATGCGTCTTTGTGTGCAGCACCTTCACAGCAGCAGCAGCAGCCTCAACCTACCCAACCAGCCGCGCCATGACTTAAGAAGAAAGGCTACAACTCCTAAGAAACCACATGAAATGGCCATGGAGAATAACAATGATGCGTTCGAGGAATTCCATGAAATGACCATCTCATGAACAATTATGCAACTGTAGAAGAAACAAGTAGAACAAAAAAAAGGAATGAAAGAGCACCCACCAGCTCGAGAAAGGAGGAAAACAGTAAGAATCCCCTTCAAAGTTAGGGACGGTTTTATAGGAATGGAAATGTGCAGCTATGTGGTGGTAGTGGTACAAGTACATGCAAGGGCATTAAACGTCTCCAATAATGCATTATGCATGTACAGTGCACGCCAACCGTAAGGACCCAAATATAGCGTACGTCCCTTTCGCATTGAATACAAACAGACAAAATAGAGAGAGCTCACCTAGACGCGTCCATAGGGGAGGATCTCCTCCTTGACTACGGTTGGCTTTCTTCCAAAACTATTCCAACATATTTGAAACTGACAGTAAACAACGGAATACCATATGAAACTGGCCAGCTCACGAGTTTGGCATATGAGAGAGATTGGTATCAAGTAAAGAAACGATAAATTATACAAAGATTACAAGTAACTCGAACCATTTTCTCCTGTTCAACCAATAAGACCCTAACCATGATCCTACAACACGTTATTTCCAATTGCGAATTCTGCTTTCTTTTCCCTATTTTGATCATCTAGCTATATATTCAGAGTTCAAATCTCTTCAATACAATTCAATCCCATCGCTTCCCCGCCAGGTGTGGCTCTCCCTCTCTCCTCAAAAAGTGGACAATTTTCCACACTCTGGATCCGTTTCTGCAGTAAGACAATCATCAGAAGCAGTAGTAGCATGTATATAATGGCTGTACCCCTAGTCAACAGCAGCTTTGTTTCTCCACCCACTCAAGGGTTTCGGCAAACCATCGAAGATAGGCCTGGCTATGGCTGCTGCCGACAGCGCCTGCAGGTCTGCCTTCAGGTTCCATTTTGGAGTCGGCCATGGGAATGAACCACCACTGCCATCTGTCTCGTTCAAACTTGATGTGCTCGATGACTTCCTCACTGACGCAACCAGGTCGGCAACATCAGCAGGATCTCCTCCAGCACCAGCTGGTTTATTAGGGCTCAAACTGCCTGCTGATGCTACCGCCGCCTCGAGTTCTGATATCAAACCACTCCGGTTTGCTGATTTGGGTCTTAAAGCCAACCCTTTTCCCCCAGTTTTCCCTGCTGATACTGAAGCGCTACCATTACCGTTCTCTTCCCTCATCAGCATGTTTGGGAAGTCGGCTTCTGATTTCTGCCGTCTTCTTACCATGGAGTCACCATCTGCAGCATTGTTCTCATCAAGCAAAACATTGACATAGCTCCTGGATTTCCGGTGATGGTTTAAAGGAGGGTTGGTGTCCGGAGAGAGTCTGAGATCAGCAGGAGAAGAAATACCATAGTAACCCTGTAAAGAAGTCATTGCAGGGGAGGCCTTTCGTCCAGAAGAAGATTTTGGCCTCAGAGTTTGGAATGAATCGAGGAGATCAGTGTATCCACGCTGGAATGGCGTGTGGTCCAAGTTGTTCCCCCTGTTAAAAAAGACTATCCCAGTGTTATAAATCACAGTGATGCGAAGAGGCAGTATCCAGTCTACATCACATGTAAGCAAGAAAATGATTACATCACAGGCCCCATATAATGTACATAGAATAACGTACTGAAACTTTGCTACTATAAGTTATAGTTCTGCATCTGTGCACATATATTTTCATGCTAGAATCCACCGAAAGAGATTTTTGCACAAATTCATCAGCAGAGAGATTCAAGGCTCAAATCCACCACTAAACTCTACCACACAACAGCACCCACACTACTGTTTGGGAGATCTTGAAACAAAAATCCCCACTGGACATTGATTACAAAGAGGTGATATTATTCTTCAATTATTTTTCACAGGGGTTAGATTCTATCAATCAGGTGTAAGCACAATCAATGAACTTGAACAGTAACAATCAAGCAGAAGAAAAGGTAAAGAGAAATATGAAGAATACCCAGGGGTGTCAGCGCCACTTGACAAACATGGCGATGGAGGGTGTCTCCCGGGATGAGGAATCCGGAGCGTTTTCAGGGCAAACATTTGATGATCTGTAACCAGACCATTCTTCTTTTTTATGTCAGCCACCTAAGATTCCACAAAGCCAGATGAGCATACACTAACAATGCATAAGCTAACAATGCCTTTGAATCTGTATTGAACCACCAAAAGGGAAAGAGAAAGGAAGGAAAAGGCTAGGCATACAAAAGCAATCCACAACAACTGGCATAAGAAGCTAAATGATTTCCATTCAGAATCAAACAGCACCTTCTACCAATGCCAGAGAAGGGAACAATCATCCGCATTATCCATTCATCAAATTGTCACATTCAGAATGCCAAATGGAAGGAAATTCCAATCAAAAGCTTTAACCCAAACAGAATAACTCCAAACAGCAGCTAGAGAATCACACGAGTCCATGAAGGGTAGAATAACATTTACCTCAACGCCATACTTGATGGCAACGCCGGCAAGGGTATCGAACTTGGAAACCGGGTGCTCAATGAACCCACGAGAGCCCGGCGACGACGTCGGCGAGGAGTTGGTGGAAGTGCCCCCGCCGCTGGTGGGCTTGAATGGAGTAGTAGTTATACCATTCACATTGTTGAAAAAATTGTGACCGTAATCATCAAATCCTCCTAAATCATCATCAGCGTTCTGCTGCTGCAGCTGCCTATCATAATCATTGCTAAACTGACTGTATCTATGATTAAAATTACTCATCATAATTTCCTTCCCGCCCTCCCTCTCCATCTGCTGCATCCCCAATCCAACATATAGACACACAGAAAACCCCCTCAACTACGAACACCAAACAACCAAAAAGAAGCCTTTTTTAACCGAAACTCAGCAACCCATACCAGCCAAGAAAACGGGTTTTCCCTTCGGTTTCTCGGGAAAGTAATCCCAATTGGGGGCGCATCCAGATTTCCCCCAAGTTGCCCACAAACGAGACAGATCGAGTGGGGAGTCGCAATGCGGATTCGAGCGGCGGTGCGCTCCGAATCAAGAGATCGGCCCGAAACCGACCACGGGAATCGCGATTGTGCAACAGCCGGAAGTCGGTGGAGGAAATCGCGTGAGACAAACAGAAAGAGGAAAAGGGGAAATTAGATGAATAACGACAAGTTGGGAAGAAGGAAGGATTAGGAAGACCATTCAATGAAACGAAACAAACAAAAAAGAAAAGGGAGAGAGGGAATAGAAATCTGAAGGTCCAGAGCTGAATAGGAGGAAAAAGATTGAAAATTGGGTGAGGCAAGAGAGAGAGAAAGAAAGTGAGAGATGGAGGAAGGAAGGTCTCTGGTTTTCCTTTCCCCTTATTTTCCTTCTTGGAAAATTTTCCGGGAAAATGAAAACAAATCCCTCTCTCTCACACTCTGTTTGCTTTCTTTCTCTCTCTCTGCACCAGGCCTTCAATTAAAGCCTTTTGTTAGATTACGTTAAATATCTATTGAATTTTGAATTTTAATAATTGTTTTTTAGTTAAAGTTAGAAGTCAAAGGACCCAGATTAAAGGACGCACACAAGGCACAGCTAAAATGATTAACCTTCAATCCATCGAAAAAGTTATTATGTTTTAAGAAAATGAGTATGGTTTGGATCACAATCACAGGCCCGGCCGCCCGACCCCAACACCTATCGGCTAGTGTACAACATACTCTTATGTTTGAACCTAACTGAATGTAGGAGTGAGATTCGAGTAAGAGTTAGGGTCAAGAAGAAGTGCAAGCAATGAGTTTGATCGGAAGGTCGGAGACTAGAGAGTTGAAGGAGAACAAGAGAAGGGATATTAGAGAGATAAGTTGTTATTGTAGAGAGAGAGTGGTGAAAAATGCCATCCCCTCACCCACCGGAGTAAATGCCATATTTATAGGCTACATGGTGGTGGGTGAGTGGATGGATTACATGATGGGACCTTGACTCTGATGTGACCACTGACATGTCGGGGATTTAGGCCATCCCCCTACCTAGGACATGTCAGGGGTGTACCTACGACGGTGTCACTGATCCCGACGTGGCTGACCCTCGGGAAGTGTGAGTGGAACTCCCTGTGGCTAAGTGGCTTACAACGCGCCTGAGCTTCTGCGCCTTGATGTTTTCCACTCTCGCGCGGCTCGTGAGGAGCTCTGGGTCTTCGTGCGCTGGTTCCCTGTGCTGGCGCGCCTGAGCTTCTGCGCCTTGATGTTTTCCACTCTCGCGCGGCTCGTGAGGAGCTCTGGGTCTTCACGCGCTGGTTCCCTGTGCTGGCGCACGCGCAGTAGCGCGCTCTTAAGCCAGCATGCGCGCCTTAGCCCCTCGCGTGCGTCCTCTGTTAGCGTGTCTTGCCTTGCACAACTAGGTCCGAGTCACATGCCCAACAATTGCCCCCCATCAGAGGGTGTTCTGAGAACGCCCTCTGTTTAGGTCTTCGCTTGATTGACTCGGGCCTGGGCGCGGGTCCGGGGTTTCTCGTTTACACCTTGCCATTCCGTAGTCGCGCGAGAGACTCTGTTGTAGTTGCCTGATAGCCCGCGATCTCTGGGGGATCGTGCGCTCGGTCCTTGTGAGGTTCGAATCATCGATGGCGCGGCAATTGATCGAGCGTGATTATCGCGGCTGCGATTGTTCCTCGCGTGTTCCGTGGCTTGCGCGAGAGGCTCTGTTGTAGTTGCCTGATAGAGCGCGGACCTTGGGGTCCGGGATTCTGAATCGTGTGCGCGATCTTTGCGAGATTTTTTCCTTTTTCCTCGCGATCTTTGCGAGATTTTTTTTCTTTTTCCTCGCGGGTGTGCCATGCCCCCCAGGCGTTGTGCGTAACTAGTTACGTCAGCGGCTAGTACCTACTTCGAATAGGTGTCCACGTGTCCTTACCTGGTTTGTTCGTTTGGGCGGGCGAATTTCGAAATTCGAAACGTCTGACGGTTGGGATCTTCGAGGTTACTTTAACCCTTCGTCTTCCCTCTAATAACTATAAGTATCGACCCGTTTGGGGAGTGGGGTTCATTCTGTCTCATTCTTCACATCTGAGTTCTGCTCTTTCTCTCTCGTGCTCTGGTTTATCGCCGAGATTCCTCTCCTTCTTTTACAATCTTAAATCCCCACTCGTTGTTCTTGTCTATTGTTTCTTGCTGTCATGGACAACATCAACACCAACGTCGGCGAGGTTGAGATCGTACAAGACGAAGAAGGTAATGTTTCCCCACTTTCACGTATTTCTTCTGATCCGTCGCTGGAATTGGCGAATTCCGGCGGCGAGGACGGCGGTGGGTCCGGTGACGGCGGAGTTCCGTCGACGCCGTCGACCAGAGTCGACTCGGATCCTGATTTCGACCTCAGAGAGACGGAGGCCGATGAAGATGCAGTGGTGTCCGGGGGCGAGGGACCGAGTACGCGGCCCCAGGGCGTCCTAATAATCAGACGCGACCACGGTGGGATGTCCGGGATCGCGGAGGGTGCTGGTACTGCGGGCGCGGCCGAGCGCGAAGATTCTGACACGGAGTCGGCGCCGATAATCGCCGAGCCCGTCAACGTTGTGCGCGTAACCGAGGCGATGAGTCGCCTTGGTCCTCGTTGCATGGGCGCGGTCTACACCGTCCTTGATTGGGCGGAGATGTGGGGCGACCAGCCGGCTCCGCACGACAACTTATTGCGGGGGCCTGACCACTCTTCAATCTACTCGCGCGAGGACGTTGAAGAAATCGTGCGCGGGTTGGGTCTGCCTCCGCACTGGGAGTACGCGGTGCCCTCTGTTAGGAGCACAGTTGGTAATTGCCCCCCAGAGTGGTTCGGGGTATATAGCGAGTATTGGGTGATGGGCTTCAAGTTTCCCATCGACCCACTGCTGTGCGCTTTATACAGGCGGCTCAACTGCTCGGTTGGACGCCTCTCTCCGTCTATCATAATGCACGTCTCGTGCTTGCGCCTTGCCTGTAAGCGGCTTAACATCCAGCCCACGTACGGGCTGTTCCGAAAATTTTATAAGATCAAGGAGCCCAGCAAGACGAGTGATTGTTTGTCCATCAAGCGGCGCGATAACAGGCCTGATGGGTTCGTCTACGGCTCCCCCAAGCTTAAGAAGACGTGGTTTGAGCGCTTCTTCTATGTTAAGCCGGTGGCGGGGGAGTGGGCGAGTGAGCACGTGGATGAGCCCACTGTGTGGAAGAAGGGTAGTACCCAGAAGTTTGAGTCTCGCGTTGGCGCGTATGACGGGCTTGATCATGAGTATTAAGCGTGTTTAGATCAGAAGATGAATCTCTATACGCGCGGAGTTCGCGAGGCCATTTTGCAAGAGCTTTTCGCTGATGGTTAGTTGTTTTCCTTTCCCTTTGCATTCTGTCATATTTAACCGGTTTCTTACGATATTTTGGTGCAGGTGTCAATTTTGCCGACCTCGCGAGCATGATGTCGGTGGACAACGTTGCAAAGGCGCCCCGAGCCTCTCGTAAGGGGAAGAAGAAGCAGAAAGAGGGGGCGCAGAGTAGTAACGCGCCAGCTGCCAGCGCCAAGAGGAAGGATCGGGGGCAGCCTAGCAGTGCTCCCGCGGGTAGCGGGAAGAGGAAGGAGTCGGCGTCGGAGAGGGAGCCGGCTGATGGGAACCCGAAGAAGGTGGCGCGGGTCGTGGAGCCGCAGGCGCGAGTTGTTACCGTGCCGGAGGCGCGCATGCAAGAGGCACGCCAGCACCCTCTTGTCATCGTCGATCCCGAGGAACGGGTGGGCAACTCCCCGCGTCCGGAAAAGGTGGTGGCTCCCAGCAGCTCTGGGGCCACTGGGCAACTGAAGCTCTCCGACATGTTGGGGGGCGTCCCGGGGGTTGACTATTACCGCGACGTGCGGCTGCACACCGGCGCGGCGTGTAATAGTCAGACCGCGCAGGCTGCTTTGCGGGCGGTTGGCCCTGTGCTTAGCATCCCCCCCCCCCCGATTCGAGAAGTCGGATCCTCTTGTGGACCTGGCTCAGATCCATTGGGCGGTAAGGTTATTCTGTTCTGGCTCACAATTCTTTTGTTTTCTTTTCCTCCTCTTTTTTTTTTTAAGTTGTAAAGTGCCGTTTGTGCAGGGTTTGCTGGCGACTTTCCGCGCCCAGCAGGATCGTGCTTCCACGCGCGCAAGGCTGAAGACAGACGAGTCTCGGATTGTGCAGCTGGAAGGGAAGCTCGCCGGCGCGGAGAGCCGTGCGGAAAAGGCCACCCACGAGGCCAACAAGGCCCTGACTGAGCTGGGTGTATGGCAAAGCCGGCTTGAGACTGCTGTGGAGGCTGCGAAGGAGCGCGTCCGGACTGAGGAGCGCGACACCATTAGGGCGCAGCTGCAAACTCAGTTCGCTGAGGAGAAGAAGAAGCTGGCAGAAGATTTTGAAGAAAAGCTGAAGGAGGCTCGCGAGGACTTGCAAAAGGAGAAGGATGACTTGGTCCAACTCCACAATGTGGCGAAGGCTGAGGCTATGCGTGAGGCCCGGGTCGCGGCGATTGGCCAATATAAGTCGTCCCAACCTTTTGGGCGGATTATGGCGGACGCCATGACGAAGGCTGTGATCGCGGTCGGGAAGAAAGTTCGACCTGAGAACCCCGGTATCAGCTGGGACACTCGCGCGATGGTCGAGCACGTCAAGATGTGGATAAGTCAGAACAAGTCCTTGTCCGAGTCGGAGTCGGAGGATGACGAGGAGGAGGAGGAAGAGAGCGCGGATGAGGAGGACGCGGGTAAGGAGGGCTCCGGTGGTACCAAGGATGATGGGCAGGCCGTCATAGCGAGGTCCCATACTGATGAAGGAGGGCAAGCATAGTGGGTTGGCGTGTTTGTCGATTGTTCCTCTTTGTTTGTTTGCTTTTGATGGCGCTATGCGCGTAGATGTTGCTTTTCTTTGTTCCCCCTTGTCAAGTAATCCAAATGCATTTTCTCGTTTGCTTTTCGCCTTCGCTCCTTCACTATTGCTATACATCTTTCGATTTTGGTGAACTTCCTGGGCGCGAGTGGCACTAGACCATTACTAACACCGTGGCGCGAATAGGGCTGGACTATCCTAACGGAGCTGAGCGCGAATAGTGCTGGACTATTGCTAAGTTTCGTTCCGTGGACCCGAGCGCAGATAGTGCTGGACTATTGCTAATTTTTTGTTCTTTCAAACTGAGTGAGCGCGAATAGTGCTGGACTATTGCTAATTTTTGTTCCGTGGAACCGAGCGCAGATAGTGCTGGACTATTGCTAATTTTTTGTTCTTTCGAACTGAGTGAGCGCGAATAGTGCTGGACTATTGCTAAGTTTTGTTCCGTGGAACCGGGCGCAGATAGTGTTGGACTATTGCTAATTTTTTGTTCTTTCGAACTGAGTGAGCGCGAATAGTGCTGGACTATTGCTAAGTTTTGTTCCGTGGAACCGGGCGCAGATAGTGCTGGACTATTGCTAAATTTTGTTCTTTT